GATGTCCTCTCGCACCATTCCTTTTCAACATCATACTGGAAGTCCTTACTATACAGATTGGGAAAGAAGACATAAAATTGTCTTTGTTCACAGATGACATGATCATCTATGCAGAAAATTAAAAAGAACCAACCGAAAAATTCCTGGAAAAAATAAGCAATTATAGCAAGGTTGCAGGGTACAAGGTTAACATGCAAAAGTCAATTGCTTTCCCATATACCAACAATGAACAAGCGGAATTTGAAATTAAAAACCCAATACTATTGACATCTATATCAACATCATCCCCAAAACTGACATACTGAATTATAAATCTATCAAAACATGTATGAAGCCTATATGAGAAAAACAACAAGACTCTGATGAATGAAATCAAAGAAGAATTAAATAAATGGAAGTATTCCATGTTTGTGGATAGGAAAACTCAATATTGTTAGGATGTTAGCTCTTCCCAATTTGATCTATATATGCAATGAAATTACAATCAAAATCCCAGCAAGTTATTTTTATGGATACTGACAAACTGATTCTAACATTTAGATGGAGAGGCAAAAGATCCAGAATAGCCAATGCAATATTAAAGGAAAAAAATGAAGTTGGAGGACTGACACTACCCGACTTCAAGACTTACTACAAAGCTACGGTAATCAAGACAAGGTAGTGCTGGCCAAAGAATAAACAAACAGATGAATGAAACAGAACAGAAAGTCCAGAAATAGACCCCATAAACATAGTCAACTGATCTTACAAAGGAGCAAAGGCAATATAAAAGAGCAAAGATAGTCTTTTCAACAAAAAGTACTGGAACAACTGGACATCCACATGCAAAAAGACGAATCTAGACAGAGACCTCACATCCCTCACAAAAATTAATTCAAAATGGATCATAGACCTACACGTAAAACATAAAACTCCTGGAAGATAAGATAGGAGAAAACCTAGATGGCCCTGGGTATGGCATAACTTTTTAGATACAATATCAAAGGCCCAGTCCACGAAAGAAATAATCAATAAGTTGGACTTCATTAAAATTGAAAATGTTTGCTCTGCAAAAGACAATGTCAAGATTATGAGAAGACAAGCCACAGACTGGGAGAAAATACTTGCAAATAAACAAATCTGATAAAAACTTATCCAAAACATGCAAAGAACTCTTAAAGCTTAACAATAAGAAGCAAAGAATCCAATTAAAAAATGGGCCGAAGACCTTAATAGACACCTCATCAAAGAAAATATACAAACAGCAAATGAGCATATGAAAAGATGCTCTACATCATATGTCATCAGGGAAATGAAAATTAAAACAACAAAGAGATAACATTACACACCTTTTAGAATAGCCAAAATCTAGAACACTGACAATACCAAATGCTAGCACAGGTGTGGAGCAACAGGAACTCTCATTCATTGCTGGTGGGAATGCAAAATGGTACAGCCATTTTGGAAGCCAGTTCAGTGGTTTCTCACAAAACTAAACACTCTTACAATATAACCCAGCAATCATGCTCCTTGGTATTTACCCAAAGGAGTTGAAAACTTATGTCTATACAAAAACCTGCACATTGATGTTTACAGCAACTTTATTTATAGTTGCCAAAACTTGGAATAAACCAGGATATCCTTCAGCAGGTGAATGGATAAATAAACCATGGTACATCCAGATAATGAAATATTATTCAGTTCTAAAAATATGAGCTAACAAACCATGAAATGACATGGAGGAAACTTAAACGCATATTACTAAGTGAAAGAAGCCAATCTGAACAGGCTACATACTGCATGATTCCAAACATATGACATACTGGAAAGGGCAAACGTATGGAGACAATAAAAAGATCATTGGTTGTCAGGGGTAGAGGGTAGAGCACAAAGAATCTTTGAGGCAACAAAAATATTCTGTACGATGTTATAATGATGGATACACGTCATTATACATTTGTCCAAACTTAGAGAATGTACACCACCAATGTACTGCTCTAAAAAATATTGTCTTCAAAATTCATACCTTGCATTAGTATCCTAAGGAATGCACAGAAAAAATATTTAAAGATAGATTAACGCTATCCTCTAGTTTTAATCTACTATGGGGTTAACTATGTCTAATTTGACTAATGATGTATGATTGGTGCACATACAAAAATAAAATAAACATAAAATACAAATAGATACCCCCAATTTTTATTTTCAAATATGTAATTTATAATGACTTTTGATTCACCTTCAGGAATACACAATATTTCAAAATCAAAATCAAAGAAATATATCTAAAGTTGAACTCACAAGTCAGTAAAGCTTATATTAATAAAAGACACACTCACATCAAGTATTGTGAATAAGAAAGTAATTGCAGAGGCCGGATCTGTTTTCTACATTCTTCCTAAAGCTTTCATACTGAGAAAGTATTTCATTCTTCTCTCACAATAGAAAATGCAAATGAGCAAGAAATGTTCAAACTTGCTAATAACAATTTTAAAAACCAAATATTAATTACAAAAATAATTTCCTTTAGCAAATTGGCAAAGACTAAAACTATGAATGTAATGTTGGAAAAGATGAAGGAAGAAGCCCTCTCAAACATGAGCATCACAATCTAAAATGGGGCAGCATTTCTGGAAATAAATTTAGCAACTACGCATCAAGAACCTTCAACATGTCCATTACCACTGACCTTCTATTTCACTTTCTATGACTGTGTTCTTAGATTCAAAGCATGTAATCAATGACTTCTGTAAAAGGATATGGATTTTAGTCTTAATTTAATGTGCATATGTTTTAATTAGAAGTAATCCAAATCACCAGCAATAGAGAAATGATTAAATGAGGTAGAGTATTCCCATATGATGGAATCTAAGGTATCTATTAAAAATAAAACTTGTTTCATGGAATATTTTATGGCAGAGGATATTTATCATGATGCCATGTTAAATGGAAAAAGCCAGATACAAAACTAAATATACAGCATGATTACGTATAGCACACACACACGTGTACACCATATATACATGGAAATATTCAGTCATACTCAAGATACTGGAAAGAATTAAACTCAAATCTTACCAACTGTGAGGGTAAAATTTCTAACACTTTTAATATTTTATTGTGAGTAAATTATTTTTACAATAAAAAATAAAGCACTAGTAGGAAAAAAAGACCAACAGCAATCAGCCAAGTACAATGTAGCTTTTATGACATCCCTATGCATGACTCCATCAACATAAAAGAGAGTCCCTTTCTCTATCCTACACATGGGGCATTCCTCTGCTGCCTTATATGAGAAAAGACCTTATTCAGTCAAGTGATTGGTTATATACGCACTTAAATTTAACTGAATACAGTAGTTTCTATTTATAAAATCACCCAGAAGTAATAATAGGAAAAATTTTATTGCAATCAACAATATTATTTTTCCAGCAATTATCTCCCTACATATCTGGTAGGTGGCTCATTTCCTTCAAAAGATGTTGAGACTTATAAAGGTGACAGCTTAGCAGCAGGAAATGTGGAGGGCGATGCTCATAGTAAGACAGCATGATCAACACCACATATTTTAATGCCATCTTTCTCAACTTTAATGGAGGGTTTTAAAACACTGGCTGGTGGGCTGCATTCTGACTTACAGAAAAATGTTTTGAATTTCTCTTTAGAAAAATTGAAAAGTGACTTTAACGACCTATTGCTTTCAGAGAGCTGAGCCCTCCTTTTCAGCAGTTTCCAATTCCTTTCCTGAATTACCAGAAGAATCGGCTGTCCTTCTTGCATGTTGAAGACATTAGCCATATACAATCATTCACCTTGCCAAGGGCGGTTGAAATGCTGCGTTTTAGGCAATATTGTGGTGTTGCCTGCCACAGTAGGAACTATGTATGCAGCAACAGGAAAACATCTCATTTTTAGTCCTTCTTGGAGACAAGTTTGTTCAACAGATGTTGTTAAGGTTTTCAGTCTTCTATTAGTCAACATTTTTATTTGAATTTACTAAACCTTTTAATCTGAATTTATTTGAATGCTTTATTCAACATTTTTATTTGAATTTGTTAGGAGTATTCATACCTGCTAATCACGAAATCCTAAGAGTGTAAAGCAACTTTAAAACGCCTTCTAGCACAGTCTGAAGGACCAAAGAGATACAACAAATAAATGACCAGGGTATTTAGCTGTCTTTGCTTAAAAGTCTGGAACAAAAAAGATTCTTTGACTTTATTCATTAATTCATTCTGGCATTTCACTAAATGTTCTTCCTGTTATCAGGGCTAAGACCTCTCTGTTGCAACGGGTGCTTCTAGCCAACCTCAGAGAATATACAATAAAGTGAATTTCTTTTACTCTGTTCATTTGAATAGTGTGGAGTAAGGACTTCTACTCTCAACCATCTTCTGTGCAGATGAAAAAGCACAGTGCCCTTGGTTCCCAAACTATATATCAGATCTAGATATTTCCCCTTTTTCCAACAGAGCATCTCCACATTTTCTTTCTTTCATTATATTCACTGAGAATTGAAATAACCAGGTCCAAACTAGTTACCTGCTTTTATTTTGGGGGGTATCAATATAAGCAAATTGCCAACATAAGTACAGACAGATATGCAGAAGAATTGAAGTGTATAGAAAAGACATTTTTAAAATAAAATGTTATGGGCTATATAGTCCAAGAAAAAATGGTGTTCATAAATTGTTATTGCATTCTGAACATTAGCATCATGTGTTAATTTATTTTAGAACTCTCTGATATCATTACATGTGTTTATATTTTAATATCAACTAAGATGACACTATTTTTAGATATAAGTCATCTCACTTATATCCGAAGACCCTATTTGACTACTGACTAAACTGAGGATTTGGCATTTTAAATAGTTCCATCACATTAAATTATACCCACATTGGGCAGACAGCATCAAGGTGAAGCTGGCATTCTTCAGAGAAATCACTGAGGAAGGTTCACAGGAGAGGGTGCTGTTGGAAAGCAAGATGTTGAGAGTAACAGTGTTCTCAGATGCTTACCTGATGTCTGTACATGTTATGCAGGTGATGTCTCGACTATTGGTCGTGATCAGGTTCAAAGCTACTGAAGTTTCCTTGTCAGCGGTCGGGTGTGCTCCACATTTAAAGAAAAATTCCTGAAAGAAGGAGAAATACAATCACACACGGAATCTGGCTATTTCCCCCTCTCTAGACATTTCCACAGGAAACAATCTCTTCAGGCAAGAGAAGAAATCTATCACTAGGTAGATGTTAGAAATAAGTCAGCTTCAAATCTTTTTAGGGAAACTAATGCCCTTGTGCCAAACTAGTCAACAATTCCCTTCTTAGAAGGGTCCTCGTGTCTGTGTTTCTGTGCTAGTCTTTCCTTCTTTTGCTCTTGCAGCCACGGACCGGGGGGAAACACTCTGTGCCCCTGGTTTAGCAATGCCCCTTGGTGATAAGTGAGTCTAGTAGAATAACACAGTGTAGATACAGAAGGAAGCTTGAAATAGTATCTCGCAAATGAGGAAAGGGAGATGCTGAACCATGAAATGATTTGCCCAAAGTCAAACAATAAGAGATGAAGCCAGGACGTTACCCAGACGTCCTAACAAGAAACCCAGTGCTTTCCCTACAGCGTCCCTACACGGTTGGCCAGTTAGCAACAAGAATGTGGAGCAGAGTAAGGAATCAAGGGATCCCAACTATAAATAAGCATGCAAGTACATGCAGACTCACAGAGTAGCAGAAGGTGATTCTCCCCAGCCTAATTTAGAGCCTTGTGCCTCTTTTTGCCTCTTTTCAGCATCCCAGAATTTCTTGGGAGATACAGCCCCCACTTCCCACACCAGGCACCTGGGAATGTTCCAAACCCATACCTCTCTCCTTCTTAGATCCTTTCCCCAGACTCGTCCTGCACACACTCCTTTATTTTAGCTTTTCACCTAAGTCACATTCTTTTGATTGACAGCAGTTTCCCTTCTCAGTCAAAATCTTCTTTCTATTCTTTGTTTCTTCCTTCTGTTACTTCTATATTGTCCACACCCCCCTCTCTACCCTTCACACACCAAGGTGTTTGGTCAGAAATTGCTCGGCTTCATCCCAAATAGTCTGTACACCTTCCATGATAATAATACCCACGAAGCCAAATGTTCTGCGACTGCAAAACCTTGATACAAATGTATCACTGGATGCCAGAATGCTTGCACACTGCGCTTACTCCTCCATTGGTGAGTAACTACTTGGATGTGGAAAGTATCTTCCCGTTAAGGACTAGACCTGGCGTCAACAGATTTTTAATAAAGCACCAGATGTTCAATGTTTTCGGCTTTGCAGGCCATGCGGTCTTTGTCACACTTCTCAAATTGGCATTGTAGCCTAAAAGCAGCCATGGACAATATGCAAATGAATGCATGTGGCTGTGTCCTAATAAAACTTTATTTATAAAAACATGTGGCAAATTGAATTTTGCCCACAGGCCATAGATTGTCCACCCCTACACTAGTCTCTGAGATATTTGTGGAATCTCTTATTCATATTTGTATCCTAACAGTGCCTGGCAGAGGTTATACATTGGATATATTTTCTTAAATGAAAAATCAATAGATTTATTTAATAAATGCTACTGGTGTCCCTTTAAACATTTGACAGCACCACCCTTAATTTGTTCTTTCCCTTCTTGTAGCCAAACTAATCTCATTCTCGTCCGACCTGACATACAGTGAGCAACACCTGTGGGTCTCCAGCTTTGGCGTGCATCAGAATCACCCAAGGGGACATTGCTTGTTAAACTAGACATTGCTGGATCCCACACCAGATTTTTCTACTTCAGTAGTTCTGATGAGGGGCCAAGGATTTGCATCTCTAACACGCCGCCAGGTGATACTGTTACTACGGCTCTGGGGATCAGACTTTTGAGAACCATTGAGTTACACCAACATTACAGTAAAAGGAGTAAACTCTTCTTATGCTTCAGAAGACAAGAACTGTAGCAGACCTCACTTATTGCATCTGAAAATAATGCCATATCTCAAGTAAAATGTATTACTCTCCAACAACTTGGAGTGTGCCATTGTACTGAGAAGCATCTCAAAGCCAGGTGTCTGGAATCCAGGCTGGTCTTAACTGAAAGTGTCTTACTAATCCCAGACAGTATAGCTGCTAGTTAGCTAGAACCTATCCTAGCTGGGGCAAATGGCATAGTAGCTGCCCACCTGCCTGTAGTTGTCAGCCCCACAGATGAGGGTGTGCCAATAGTCTTGCTACAATTGATGGGGTGTGCAGTGCATCTGAAGGGAACCCATTCAGGTGGATCTATGGAGTCCTACCCGTGAGCCCAGGTCTTTTTCTGGAGCAGCATGGAAATCATACTGATTGTTCCCTTTTCTTTTTTAACAGGGAATATTGTCCTGTTCACTCAATCTTTTGAAACTTTACAAATCGTTCAAAAAGGCCAGTTCAAGGGTATTGAAAAAAAGAAAAGATCTAAAGCAATTCCTGGCCACCAAAAGAAAAAGTTTGGAGGAGACGACTGACCCTTATGAAATACATTGAGCTAGCTGTGACTGCTTTTTGCAGACGTGAAAAAATCCTTACTCATAACACAATGTAGTTCCTCCAAAATAGCTGAGTTGGCTGGACTATTGAGAAGGTATTTCACATACAGATAAATAGATAGATAGTATTTATATTTTTTCTTAGCTTGCAGAAATCTACCGATAGATGTTCAGCTAACAGATCACAAACTGCTCCAACATCAGATAAAATTCAGCCAGATAGAAGCAAAAATTCTATTTATTGGATACGTTGTGTGTTTACAGATAAGAAGCTACAGATATTTGGAAAATTCCACTAATTCGTATGGTGTGATCAAATTAAAATACAAATTACCAACTCTGGTTTTAAAGTATGTATGTCTTATCAGTGAATTTCAGAGTTTTCTCCACAAATTTCTATGAAAAGAGGTTCTTCTGTAGTACTAGAGTAATTGGCAAGAATGGTGGAGGGTCTGAGATTTCCCCCAGCTTTCAAGCTAACAGGTTAGTCTGCCACAGTCTTGTGGATGCTGGCAGAAGACAGGAGACTCCTGGGTCAGAGACAAAGGGCTGCATGACTCAGAGCCCAGGCAGAAAGAAGTACGGACGCCATGTTTATGTCAGTTCTCCTGCGCCCCAGCTCCCACCGGGATGAAGTGGATAATTTAAGCTAGATGCAACAAATGCAGTGGTTCTGCATCACAGCTGAGGACCATGAGGTTAGGGAACGCAGATCTCTTACAAGGAGCGGTAAGAAAACCTTCCTTTGGTCCTGAAGGGAGACACTGCCTTTATCATACCGGATAATAAGCAGATCTTCTCTACAACTTCCTTGCAAAGATCGTCCAGAACAAAAGGGTAGTTAGCACTTCCCTCCCAGGATGTGCAGAAACATGAGAGAACCCTGGAGCACTGTCTCTCAATAGTAATAACACCTTTTCTTACAGATTAATCACAAGAGCGATCTGGTCATTTCCTGTCCTATACACCCAGTGGGCTGGCATCTTCAAAATCTTTCTGATATTTTCAGTCTGCATTCAAAACACAGAAACAATAAAGCAACTCAAAACAGAAGTAAGGAGAACATTTTGAAAAAATTGTACCTTGGGTATCTCAGCATGCTCAAAAAGGGTTGTCATCTCACAGAGAGCTGCGTGATTCTTTTGGAGTAATTGTCTGTGACTTCTTCCTTTCTGTGTTTTGTTTCCCTTGATTGTTCAGGTTAAAAAAATTAAGGATGCCAAAGCTAGAAAACTCTTCTAGCTAGAGTCCATGTGATGTGGTCAGAAACCTGAGAGTACCATGAGATCTGGTCATCAGGGGCATGACACCATCTGATCACCACGAGGGGCCCAGAGGACACTTCAAGCTGGGCTGAGTGACAGCAGTTATGTCCCAGAGCCAGGCTGCTCGAGGAGGCATTACTCTAGTTCCAGTGCATCTGGGGTTTGACTAGCAAAGTTACTTCTGTGTCACTGGGGAAACAGTCCCCTGTGGGTGCAGCAGGGAAACATTCTCGTTCATTCAGGAGGACATCTGTCAATCCTTGTTCCTGAGGGAGGACAGGATCCTTAAGTGTCATTAATAAAGAGTGTCAAGGGGCCCATCCCACCTTTTACAAATGCCAGCTCACAGATAAATCAGCTACAAAAAACCCAAACAAAACAAAAAAACAAGTCCTGTTAAATTAAATGAATTCCTCCACCTAGCCAGGGGCTGTAGCCCCCACTGGCTGGCTCAGTTCATTTAGATCCATCTACTCAATGCTGGGAAGCCATAATTAGCTACGAAGCTAAAATCTAGGGCAGTAATTGGCCTTTTTTTTTAATGATAGTGTAAACTATTTTTAAAAACTGAAAAAAAAAATCCCAGAATAAAACTTTTAAAAATGTGCTTGGCTTTACAATGTGGCCGTGTTAAATGTTATAGAAGTGTTTTCTACCTTATTAGTACTAAATAGAAAATTCAAAATCCAGCAGAGTTGTATTCTTTAAGTTCTTGGAAATGTACTCACATTTTCACCATTTCTGTGAATGAGGCTATGATTTTTTCCTTCTGCTCTCACTGAGTTGTTACATTTTATCATAACTCACCCATCCTTTCATTTCAGATCATAGAGATCTGACCCTCTAACTGAATTAGAACCCATAAAAATCAAAGATGTACCAAGAGAAAGACCTGTGAGCGTCTCAATCCAACTGCTGGTGGCATTCCTGGACTCCACCCTGTTCCTCCTCGCTCCACTATGCCACTTGTCTCATGACACTCATTACCAGTGTCTCTCACAAAGGGGACAATGATAACAAATACAGGAATGAATAAACAAACAAGCAAAATCTGAAAATTTGATTAATACCAAGAACTCAACTGTATAAAAACTTATAGGATCAGACACTTATGAGTCAACTCCAGGCACAAATTGATGTGTTCCAAATTACTACAAGAATAACTTGCAACTACCATCTGGAAAGTCCCGCTTATCCCAACCACAATCTAGTTTCAAATCTGAAAAAATAGCAATGAGACCTGACTTCTCCTTCGCCCATGAACCCTCTAACAGCTTTTACTGAACTTCCTAAAGTTAACTATTTTTACAGGTATTGCTTAACAATTATACATTT